TGGTTGTTAAAAAGTGCCTTTTGAGGCACCTTTACTTTATATAATCTAATTTATGTTACCCCTGTCCCCGTATGTTTGTTGTTTTGTTTTGTATACTTGTTGCTAATCCTAATAAAATAAAAGAAAAAAAAGGAAAAAAAAGACAAGTGCAGTCTGCTCTGATTGGCCAGCTGACCCAGTGCATTGTGATTGGCCGAACACCACAAGCAAGCTTTGGAAATGTAACTCCCCTTACCATAATCGCTTCAGCTTTCAAAGTAAATATCAAGACAGTTAAAAGCTGTTTAGTAATGCAATGCTATTCTGATGCTTTTGATTGCGCTTCACTGAAAAAAATAATGTATTCATCCAATTAAAAAAAAATTAGGGTAATGATTAACATCTATATTTTTTAACTTGAGCCAATGAAAAATAAATAACTTGCCTTTAGGGCCCTTGGATGAATGAAACATTTTTTTCAGTGTTGTTTGAATTTGAAGCGCACCGTGTCTGGCAATTACATCAATCCACATAGCTGCTGAAAAATCAGAAAAGGGCGCAAATATGACAGTTCAGGGCAAAATTAGTTTGTCGACTATTAAAAAATTAACAGCTGTTAAACTAACAGCTAAAGCTTTGGTAGAAAAACTTGACACCTTGCAAAAGTTAAGAGAGGCAAAGTTAAACAAGGCTCAGAAACTAATAGAGTCAATTAACAATTTAATATATGATGACAAATAATACGAACCTGAGGTACGTTTGGCCTTTGAAGATTTTAAGAGGTTGTGTTCAGAGGCTAAAGACACTCATGAGTCTGTTGGTTATTTTACCGGTTGATGAGGCTGAAAAACATGAAATATGGTTCAAAGCAAAGATGATACCAAACAATTGAGTTAAATGACCGTGTAAATAAATGGTTATCAGACAAGCCAGAAGGTCAGAAAATATCTGAAGTGGGCAATGCAGAGAGTGATGTTGGTCCTGGAGACAGCGTCTCAAATGTGTCTCATGCGACCTCCAAGCGTAGTAAATGTAGTTCAGGCACCAGCAGTAGTAGTAGTTCATCCATATCATCTGCATGTATTCAAGC